AAGCGGCTAATGCATAGGAGTTGAAACTTTGTTAAACATCTACAAGTTCGCCGACTCAGCCACCTTTCGGTTTGTGCTTCATTCCGTTCATCAAGTCAAAGGGAACTTCGTACTGATACTAGCTCTTGCGAGCAACAATCTAAGTGTGTTTGGGGAGGGGTGAGGGTTTTGCCGAGTCAAGAAGCTACTAGGACCTAGGAACAAGTGCATCGCTTCTAGTAACAAGTGCCTTACTAGTAGTAACAAGAAACTACTAAGAGCAAGACAGTCCAATGCCAGGTACGGTCCCTGGCCTTTGAAGCCCAGCCCCTTTTCGTAGGAGCACGTAGGAGCACTTGGACAGGATGAAGAGATGTGATTCTGGAAATTATGTTTTCCTTCCGCTTGCATTGAAATTCACAACACCCATAGCAATTCGGAAAGGTAGCAGCCTAAGGTAACATGTATGGTCCTTGAGCCCCTTTTGACCTCTGTTTTGATGGGACAAAAGGCAATACTTTACATATAGTTGTTCCTCCAAAACAGGGATCGCTCAGGCTCTATAGGGTGACATATACTAATATAATCTAATATATATATATTGTGACGTGCTTAGGCCTGTTTGTGTGTTTGGACCCCCCCCCCTGCCTGAGACTATTCAGGGAATCCCTGAAACTATTTCCAGCTTAGGTAGAAACTATTTCAAGACTAGTAGGCTATTGGTAGACATAGATCACATAGAGGCACCTCCTTTGGACACAAAACTATCAATCTTTTGCCAACATATGCAACATGTGGCACACTGTATAAACTGGTATAATGCGAAAAGCCGTGAATTGCATCCAAGGCATCCGGCAAACAACCGAACAATTTTCTTGAATGGTTGACATTGCAACTAAAAAGTATCGCCCATCTTATTGCAAAGCCCGTCGTTCCTCTCTCTGAGAACAGCCTTTTCTCTGTATCTGGATGTCCACAAAGGTTTGTTGGCCTTCCAACACTGTCTGGCGACAGAGGATCTAAGATTATGTCCTTGGACCAAAGGCTTTGCCCTTGCCAAACACCTCAAGCGGCCCAAGGCTAGGAGACAAAATTCTGCCGTCCAAACCTATGCCTGAACACCTTGGGACTCCTACTGTTTGGCCCTCTTTTTGGGCAAAGTCTTGGGTTTCTTCGCAGACTTCTTTTGCCTGGGCTGTGGGTGAGCTTTGTGAGTTGAAGGTGGGATCTGAACACATTAAACGGGAACATGATGCTGGCTTGCACCAGTGTTTGCACCACAAACCATCTAGTCTTGAATTCAATTTGTGGCTTGTTGCCATTATATAGTCCCATGTAATTACAGGTGGCCATAAAAACATAATGAATCAACACCAAAGTCAATGAACGATAGACCTTTGACAAATTGCCCTGGAACAAATGCGTCAATGACCAAGAGCCAATGTTTCTTGCCTGGCCTTGTGCGTTTTTTTTGTCTCAGCCAACGCCCAACATATGATATGAGTGAGTGAGAATGTGACTGAATCTGAAATATCTGAAAAGCTAGGACCTTGGACCTTGATCTGTTCCACCAAAGCTGCTCGCTGGCTGGAGGGTCATCAGCCTTCTGGAACTCTTCAAGCTTCGTCAGGAGGTTGGGGTGAAGATCTGCTTTGGTCATCCCAAGTTCAGCGGCCAACATTCTGCACAGTTTGCGCACAGCCGCCAACTTGTCCGGGTAGTGGTCTGGGAACGTGACAAGCTCGAGAACTGTGATTGAGCTGCACATTGAGCCCACATCGTTGCGCGTGGCCTAGACAAAGAAAGAACAAATACAACACCCACAACTACTGCGCAATGTTTGGCAACCTGACCTTCTGCTAGTTGCCTGCCTTGTTTTGCAGCCTGACCTTCTGCTGGCTGCCTCCCTACTACCTACCATATGAAAAAGAGAGTCTGAATCTCTTGAATCAATCTCAACTAGCAAGACTGACTGAGTACACAAGCATGTTCGTCATGTCCAGTCCTCCATGGTTTTAAATGCAGCAACAATCTTGGCCCGCAATGGTGTGGTCTTCCAACCATCAAACTTCTGGATGTTCTGCAAGGTTCGAAGAAAGTCCTGCACGATCAGGAAGCCCTTGCGCCAGTCAAGGAGAGAGTTGACATCCTCACCCAACTGCATCTTTTCTTTCTCATCAGCGCCAAAGATCTTTGCGGCGGTGTCCAACTCCCCAGAATCGATAGCCGGCATGACATGCCTGTGACGATTTCGATTGGAACCCACAGTCAATGTTTGCATGGGACAAGAGTCATAGTAATTTCAATCCTCTGAAAACGGGTGACATAAAAGAACTACTCAGAAACATTTGAAACAGCCACATCAAAATGAACAAAAGCCCCAGCATGGACCAGCATGGACTCTACAAAGAGAAGGATCATGGAATATATCCAGAATGCAATTAAGTCATGAGTCATGGATATTGACTGACTGCCAGTAATTCTTCTGGCATTGTTTGGTGAAGAATGATTGAACTGTCCCTGCCTGTACTTCTCAACAACAGGTGTCATGTGTCCGAGGCTTGTCTCTGCAGAGTCGATGACCTTCTCGATTGCGGCAATCACTGATGCCTGGAATTCCTTCACGTGGGTCACCACCTCTGCTGAAAAGAATTTCTCGATCAGCGTCATGTCCAAAGACAAAATGGTCATCCACTTCTTGACAGGACGCATCAGCTGTGGCAACTCCTTCTCAAGGTTTGTGAGCGATGGTGCATCAACCGGCTTCAAATCGTCCAGGATCGAGCTGTTCTTGGCCAAATTCAACATTGCCTGAAGTTCTGGTGGCAGGTGAGTGCAGGCATTCAAGACATCACATACCTCGTCTGGGCCACCTGATTCCCAGGCAGAGGCAACCCAAGAGGTTCCATAGGTGATCATGGCACTCTGGAAACGCTGGGCTGCCGCTTTTGCAGCATCAAGCCAATCTGGTCCCAAAGCATCCACAGCCTTTGAAGACAACTGCGTGTTCATGTCCTTGCTGAGACTGCAAACCTTCTCAAGCGGAACATCTTCTTCATCTGGACTTGAACTGTAGTCCAGAAGTGACTGCAGGAGTGTGGTTTGGATGGCCTTGCTCTTTGTAATCTCGCTGACTTTGAAAAGGCGACTGGAAATCACACCTGAGGGCTGAGGGTGGTGGGGAATATGTCAAGTCAACCAATGACATTGTGATGTGACATCACAACAAGAAAATCAACAGGTTGGTAGCAGGCACATTCCCTAGCTTTCTCCAGAAACATTCAAAACAGCTGGCCTTCCACAATTGCTGCCTTGATGTCGCCAAGCAGAAGGCCCCCCAATCCGGAGCTCGACAGAGCCACGGAAGCTGTGCTCCAGCAAGTGCTTGAAATCAAAGTTTCCCCAATCTGACACCATGCCCTGAAGCCATTCCAAATTGCTGTCCAACTCATTCTTCAACTGCTGGTGTTGCTCCTGAGTAGAGCCCTCCAAAGCAGAGATGACAGACTGGATGGATGAACACTTGTCAATCGCTGGCATCACCTTGTCCAGGGCCAGGGTCGATTTGTTTTCGTCCCCATCCACTTGCAGAAGAGTGTCCAACTTTTTCACGTTGTCCCGAACTTTCCCGGCAAGGTCGGTAGCGCTATCAAGATCGACTTGATCTTTCCCCACATCCACCACCGCGTTCCACAACGCCCTGGTGCAACAAAATCAAAAGAGCAAACAAACAAATATATATATATATATATCACAGCCTGACCAGGTACTGCTCAACCTTTGACCAGCAGTTCAACATTCAACCCAGAAGTTACTTCAATATTATCTCAACTTGACCGGAAGCTGAAGCTAGCAAGAAAATCACGCCTCCACAATGAGTTTGATCGAAACATCAGGTTGATGCGAGGTGACGTCACCTTGCTTGTGGCCACCACAGTTTTGATCTCCATAGCCAACTGAGGCTGCACCAAATGCTCTTGCTGCATCACCTTTCGGCAAGCAAGGAATCGCTGGAGGTCAAGCAAATGCTTGGTGGCAATGCCAACCGGGTTCACGGTTTCCTCCTGGCCTTCAGACTGTGGTAGCTTCAAAGTCAAGCCCGACACGGGCTCCTTGAACATCCTACACGAAAGGGTTTTTGCATCAGTTCATCACTTCCATTACATGACCAACTGCAGGGAACCTACAGGCCCCCAAAAGTGAACTGTCATTCAGTTCGCAAAAAGAATATCACAACAACATCATATTATATTAATCATATCATATCTCATATCATACATATCAATATCAAATCACATCATATTATGATTATGTAACGTCACGTATTAAAACTGCACGCACTGACCAGCTAACCGTCCTGAGAAAGTCTGGCTGCCACATTGAATCGGGAATGCTGAAAAGGAATCCATTGGTGTCTTTGGTCTTGTTGGCCTGCTCAAACCAGTAGCCAATGAGTCCGGCCTGCACTTGCAAGAGCCCACCCTCGCCCATCGTGCACTGCGCATGTAGGAGCTTCTGCATGGACAAACCCTTTTCCTCGCCAGTGCCGCGGCCAGTGAGCATCAGAAAGTGAAAGAAGGTTGAATGGTCTGAGTTCACGGACAAATTGTTAACTGCCTCCTGCGGTGCGTGACTGATCCAAAGGCCACGTTTGGGTCTGCTAGGAAATGCAAAATTGTTATATGTTTATGTTGATTGATGAATCCAATGACAGAATCTGATTCTTGGGCCTTGAATGGCTTGCCTAGCCCGGTCTGGCCGAAAAAGAAGGGTAATGTAAAAATGCACCTTCCCTTCCCACGCCTGCTTTGACTTGACACTCACACCCCCAGCCCACTTCTGGTAAATGGTGCACTAAAAGTAATATATTAATTAAGTTTATATCGAATCATATATATATATATATAAATTATATATATATATATATATTGGAGCACAGCACTCTTCCCCACTTCCCACATTCTCCTCCCATAATCGCTTGCCAATGTCAACCAGGACAGCGTGCATGCAGTCAGCAGGAATTTGCGTAGCAAATTTGGCGATGTCCTCGGGGTCCATGGAGCGAACGTGCCGCAAGCAGCCGTCTGAATCGGCAAAGGGGACCATGATGTCCATCCAATTTGTCACCATCTTTGCTGCGTTAGAGAGCTGCTCCCGGACATTCTGGGCTTCTGGGCTCGTAGGGATGTGCTCTTCTAGAGCCGACTGTGTCTGGAACGCCAAGTTGAGTTTCTTGTCCACATCCCGTGCTTTCAAGGAACCCTGAAAGTAATTCAAAGGCATGAAAGATTGAAGTGCTCCCAAACAAGCATTCGCGGCTTTCAGTGACTCAGCCAAATCTGAAGAAGGTCCCGATGTGGTGGTAGCCTTGCGCTTGGAGCCAGAGGCGGCTGATGGTTTTGGCTTTGGTTCTGGCACCGTGCTCTCAGTGGCTTCTTCAGTCTTCATGACCCGTCGCCGCTTAGTCTTGTCTTGATTCGAGCCAGCCTTCTTGAAGCCAATGCCTGTGTCCTCCTCTGACTCCTGATCACTTTCAGCCTGATGCTCCACGGGTTCCTCCTCGCTCACGTCAGCCTGCAACGCCTTGGCCAAGGCGTCCTTGGCAGCGGCCTGAATGTGAAATGCGTGGTTCCAAACTCTGAACCCGAATATTCAGAATGTCATCATATACAGTACCAATGATACCTGCCTACTGGCATTGGAAACAAAATATATGAGATGTCTAGTCTCTGGCAGAGTGACTAACTCAAAAGATCTGGAAACTACCTGCCTCCTCGTTTGTATCCAGTTTGTTCTTGGTTTGATTCTTGTCGTGGACTTCGACCATTTGGCTAGCGGATTCATGCTCCGACTGGCGGATCTTGTCAGCGGAGACTCTGGTGCCCATCTTGACCTTCTTGGTCCCGTCTTCAGGAATAATGATGACACCCTCCTCCCCAGTGTCATCCTGCCATGGGAATCGGAATCAGCGCTAAATCACTAGATCCTTGGAAAACCAAATTGTTGAAGATGGTCCGGGATAAACTTTATACAACCAAACCAACTATCTTGAGATACTGGATAGCAGCTCAATGCTGTGTGATCCCCCAAACCCGTTGAAAAGCTCAACCACTGACCAGCTGTTCAAAACCCGTGTCCGGAGCCAACTTCAAGCCCACTTCCTGAGCAAACAAAATGAACTGACACTGGCGGTTTTCATTTCACTGTTCGCGCAGAATAATAAAAAATACGACGACTTGATCGGCCGGAGAAATCGGAAACAGTCTTTTGCCATCAATGAATCATAGGCCAAGAGTCCTTGGTAATCCAAGCTTTCTTTTGTGCCAGAGTTTTCCGCTTTGTCTTCATTTCCGGTGGTGCGTGAGTTTCCCAATACTTCTGCACACTCATCCAGGTCCCCTCCTGTTTGTCAATAAGAAAGGTTTGGACTTGAAACATGAAAGCCAAAGACCAAAGAAGAGTTACTGTAATAGGCAATCCGTGAGGTCTTAAGCAAACTACTTCCTACCACCTCGCGATGAACTGAAACTGGCCCCGTTCCATCCCAATCTCCTGGAAGACGTCGCAATAACTTGACTCCTTCTGCTCAGTGTAGAGCTTCACATTGATGCTCTCGTGTCGGGGTTTGCAACGAGGATTGTTGCAGATCGCATGAAGGTGTTTGACACGCAAGGACCGAAACCTGGGTGGGCCATCAGCACTGGAAGAAGCTTGAAGTCAACAATCGACAGCTGACTGTTGACTGCCACAAAAACATGGGAGAGTAAACGCGGGTTGGGCAGGTGGTTAACAAGCAATTGACTAATTAAAGCAGCTGGGGCGCTTTTCTCTCAATGGAGGATTTGCATGCAAGAGCTCTACAAACTCACCAATCTTGAGTCCGCCAAAGCTGCCTCGCTTAATGTAGAAGCACTTGAGGCACAATGTCGGGCCACTGTCAGCCTTCATGGACACAACGCGAATTTGGTGACCTGGCAAGGCGTCCTGCCAAACAAACATATACAAATCAAAGCCAATCAAGTTTTGGCTGGCTCTGTCTTTTGCACTATTTTGATCAAGGCCATCCATTCAATTCAGCGCACAAATGTTTGAGTCTGAGTCTGAAGACAAGGAAGTCAAGAATCCCACGTGTAGTGTTTGTAGTGTCTTGTTTGTTTTTGGTAGTTGTTATTCTTGTCATGGTCCATGGTGGTGTATGTCATATGTATTCGGTCTCTGGTCTATGTCACTGTCCTGGTCATTGTCTCCAAATGTCTGCGTGCAAGCAACACAGGCACCGTCAGGTGCCAGTGCCTTTGCCATCTCCTTGTCCGCACCATCATTGCGATCACTCATGATCAGGTCCGCGACACGCCCGAAGGTTGTAGGTAAACCCACAAACGAGATGGGCGGTTACCACTTGTGAGCCATGGATCTTCGAGGAATTGGTCAATGGGGCGAACACGAATCAATCTTGTTCTAACTGACACCAAGCAACAATTGAAATGACACAACATCAGAAAGTCTCCTGTTCACTCGACTCCTGAATAAAACCGACAGCACCACAGTGATGCCACAAGCAACAGCAACAATAGCAAGCATATGGAATACGCCCCAACAACACGCACGATCCATCCGGTCTGTCTCTCTCCCTGGCACTGAAAGGAGGACATCTTTGCTGCCAGTTGCCACGCAAGCTGCATGCAAGTGCTTTCGGAACTGCTTTGGCAAATTGCCCAAGGAGCAGCAGCTCTTGTGTACTGCTACCCCGGAAGTAAAACCCCTAGGCCTAGGCCTCTAGCTAGCAATGTCGAGTTTTCACCAAAACTCAACTACTGACATCCACTGACAGATGGCAGGTGGCAGGTGCTTTTGTCAAATCATGGCCTTTCAGCCTGTCCGTGATTCACTCCAACATCTCCCAAGGGGATTCGGGGGTGTCCCACCAAACAGTATCAGTATCAGCCCTGTCGAGACACCGTTGAGTGAGTGCGTCACCCTCGTCCTCATCCTCAAAATCTGAGGCACGGCTCCTCTTTAGTGCTGGACGGCGATCCAAGGAATCTCCAAAGCAGAAGCCACGGCTTGTTGAAGATCGGGGCTCTGGCTCTGGGGAATCGGACAATGTCGCAGGGCTCAGGTTCAAAGGCTCTACGCCCAAAAACGGTTGATTGTCCTTTCCCAATGGCAAAATGGCAAGCACGAACATCAGGAAAATTGCACCTGCAACAGGTGCTGCCCAAGCATCGCCTAAGATTGGCAAAGAGGAAAATACCAGATCTCAGAATAGCGCAAGAAACTGAAGAAAAGCTGACTTCTTAACCAGGACCCAAAATCTTACCAATGCCATGCCACCCCATCAATCTTTACAAATTACTTTTGTCACTACACTACTGGCCCAGTACTTGTTTGCTGCGCCACAATGTCCTGAGCCTAATACTGAACAGAAGGCCAAGAACCCAAACATCACATCACTCAGCATTGGCACATTGTTGAAATCCCCCATATTTCTGAAGGGTCAGTCAGTCAGTCATGTTAGTCGTTTGTAACTTACTCGCCAGAACAAAGAGCCCCTTGCCCTTACCATCTCAAGTTGCCAATGATCTTGTTGAGCTGGCTGTAGTCAAAGCCAGTGAGGTCCAGCTTGCTGATGTCAAAGCCCTGGCATGTGAAGAGCTCCTGGCCCAGAAACATCATTGCCAAGCCGGAAAGCCGAAAGCCAAATTAAAACTTTGACATGACATGTGACGACATGAGATACTGACACTGACTCTCAAATCATACCACCACCTCTTGAAAGCCAGAGGCCAGATGGCCATTTAAATAGATTGGAACCAAAACCGAAACCTGCAACTTGAAGAAACACAGAAGCAACAGTGAAAGCTCCTCAGCGCACAAGAACCTCTTTTGCCGAAAGCTCCACAGTTTCGCGGTCGTGGTGATGGCCGAGAAAGTGCCATTGGAACCGGTGTGCTTCCTTCCCACACTGCCTTGGCTTGTGAAACTGCAAACTGAAATAAGTAGTGGTTTGGGTTTGGGCTTTCTGTGAACAATGTCGGCTTCCAAAAACCATGGCATGGCCATGCCATGCAGTACCAAAAAAGCATGAACTGGCCAGGCTACGGGCCAGGTCTGTGGTGCACCACTGGCGGTATGGTGAAATTCCTCTCACCTCGAATACGTGACGATGAAACTCGTCAAGTAAAATACAGGACCATGGACCGACCATGGCCAATGTTTTGTATATGCTTGCTACTAGCCAGATCCATCTGTACCATCAGTAAAAACACTTATCTCATCACCAAACTTACTGCGCAGTTCCGCCAGCACGTCCGCCCACTATGGTCGTTTGCTGTCTATGCAAATTATGTATTGTATTAGTAGTAGTATATAATATATTAATAACAATTATGAGATTTGTAAGGGTTTGGCAAGGATATATGGCACGGTATGGATGCTATGGCCAACCTTGCCTTGATTGTTGTTTTGAGATTTGACATGAGATTGGATTCCCGGTGTGGGTCATTTGTCAATCACTCGCACTCTCTCTCCATTGGACTCAGATCTTGGACCAAGTACTGAAAGTACTTAATGAAAAGGTTGAATAAAGTAAAGAGTTAGTCATTGAAGAGTTATAAGTTATAAGCCGGACTTGGACATGAATCTGAATCCATCTCTAGTTTCCGCAACAGTTTTTCCTCTTTAGCTTTTCGGGGGTTGTTGGTGTCCGTTTTGACAGACTGTTATATTCTATAGCAAGGCAAAGTTACGGTTATTGTTATTATTATTACAAGTTGTATTTTCATCAGTTTGGTTAGGCTTGACGTGACTATAACTATGACTATAGCCTATGGCTTTGAAAAATAACTACTCTGGTTGTTGTTGGGTTATAGTTAGTTATAGGCTCTAAATGACATATGACAAATTAGTATTTGTTTTCAATCTATCTTTGATGCATGATGTATCATTCTATACGTTGGCGTATTATGTTGGTGTGTCATTTACAATGTTCAGTGGCGTTTGTTCGCACGTTCTTCTTTTGTTAGGAATGTGGAAGTTCAAACTATGCTTTACGTTTCCTGTGGCATCGTTGTGCTTCCTAAGACTACTGATGATTACGAAATGCGAATGGTTAAAATGATGGGGTGAGGCAGTTGTCTCCGTCTCTCATTATAGTTCTTCCAACTCTTCCAACTTCCTCAATCCTTAAGAACGTTTGTTTGTTGCTTTGATCTTTGGTTCAAGGTGGCGTCTAGCAAAGTGTCAAGAAAAAAAACAATATATAATATGTATAGTCTGACTGACGGCAGTGATAAGTTAAGTGTTTATTTTTATTTGTATGTACTGTATTGTTGTTAAGTTAACATAAGCATCATTATTATATGAGATGTGCAAGCTGTAACTTAAGGAAGTTAAGTTATAAATTAAGTTCTATAAAGTTATACGGGACGGTAAGTCTATAAGTTAGTAATATAGCATATATCATATAACTATATAACTTATTATTATTCAATCAACAAATAAAATAACTTAAAAAAAATCTGGCATGTTCAACAATAGCGTGGAACGGTTTGAAGCGGTTCCATACTATTTCTAGCACGAGGTTCTTTAAAATAGCGTGGAACGGTTTGAAACGGTTTGAAACTATTTCAAGAATAGGCCCACAAATAGCGCAGAACGGTTTAGAACGGTTCTAGACTATAGTTGCACAGCTTTTTAGAAATAGCGTAGAACGGTTTGAAGCGGTTCTGGACTATTGTAACCCAGAAACTATTTGAGACTATTTGAGACTAATTGAGATTTTGAGTAACAATAGCGCAGAACGGTTTGGAACGGTTTCAAGCTATTTCTAAACCATTGCTCATAAATAGCGTGGAACGGTTTAGAACGGTTCTGGACTATTTATAAGTTCACTAGCATCACTAGCACGATGAAAAACTCAGTTGAACAAATAATTTATTCAAATCTTAATCAAGCTGAACTTAACCTCTTACATACTGAGCTTAAGTTAAGTTACTAACTAACTAAGTATCTATGGCCCATGGCCATGGCCTAAACAAATGAATGACTCACCTGCCTCAAACTAAGTGTCTACAGTCTACAGTCTACAGTTGGTTGAGTCCTTTCAGTCCCCGTCCTTTGACCACTGGAAGAATTTGTTTGTTGTGTTGGCAATCTGGGACCAGGGATGAATCTGGATGACTCGGGACCCTGGCAAAACAAGTCACAACCAAGGAGGCATACTGAATGTCCAAACTCTCAGTCTCCCGGGCATTAAGGCGACGCCGCTGGTCCTCACCAAGGTGGTGCTGGCTGTAAAAGACCATAGGCCCGTTTGGCCCAAGGCCCAACGCATTCCGGCAAGACTTCACGAACTCGCGGCGCCGTTCCGATGTGCATTTTCCATCCTGAAAGCAAATGACAAAGACTGGCAAAACCAGGGTCCCAAACCTCACAGATCTGGATCTGAGGTTTAGAAACCGTTCCTGCTTGTTTGAAAATAGTTTCTGCTAATCTATAAATAGTCGCGCAAAGGAAAAAATGAACAGACGCTATTTGAGCCTGTCACCCACCACATCTTGCCCCACCCGAAAAACAGAACCCCGGAACCCACCACTCGATGTTTGGTGCGTGACTCGCGACTGGAACAAACTCGCGACTGGTCACTTTTGCCTGTCCTTGGAGGTTGGTGGAAAGCACCAAGTGTATTCGTGGCGCACGGACGCAACGTAGTTGGAAACATCCTCTAGGCTGCTCCGGGCCAAGGTGGAAGGCAGCACCTTCTGAATACAGTGCACCAACGCATCTACCTGGACAGCACATGCCAGGTCCTTCCTGATCATCACCACGTAGACCCGATTCCGGCTCTGTGGCAAACCATAGTCCGCCGCACTCAGTGCAGTGCAGTTCTCCAAGCAACATGCAAGTTAGTGATTTGAAATGATCAAGTACCTAATACCTGGCCTACAAGCTTACAAGGTAGCCACTAGCCTCAAGGTTTGGAAAACAGTGGCAGTGGCACATATCACATACAGCACTACACCGTGCACCATGCTTTGGTACGAACCTACAGGGCACCACAACAAATCTCTTCAGAGCAAACACACATTCAAGTCTTACATACATGATATGGGAAATGGGAAATGAAGTGCGTCATTGCCTGGACTTGGTAATTGAAACCTACAGCCTACAGCCTACAGACGACAACGTTTCTGCAAGCGTGACTTGTGACTCATAAGGCATGCCCGGTCCATTCCACAAAATTCAACATGCTAATGCTGCCATCTCCGCCACGCGAACCCATCGGTTTGCAGACAGGTCACTTGAGATGCATGACGCGCAGTTCGTACCCTTCCACCAGTTTCAAGCCGATAGGCTCAGATCCCAAATAGCCGTGAAGCATGAAGTCTGCAGGCGCCTGGCAAGTGTTCAAGTTCAGACAGCTTGGTACTTTTAAAGTCGGGTGTTTTGCTCACCTGCGGTATAGATTCCCGACCCTATGTTTGTGGCAGTGCTTTCCAGTGTTTCAACTGCATGTGAAATGAGTACAGTCCAGTCCAGTTGACAATTGTGCAACGCAAGGCCCCCCCGAAAAAGGAAAGCTGATAAAATTGATGACACTGACTCTGGCTTCTCACTTCACCTCAGGATTCTTGTTGTAAAGTGAGTATGTTAATTTAGTTAATTAAAATATGTTCAATGCTCACAGCTCGCAGAATGGCAAATGACTTTCCTGGATGCTGTACTTACACATGACAGCTTCTGTGAACAGTGTTCCAAGCTGACAACTGGGCGTAAATATCAAATGACAAAATCAAATCGCTACAATCGCTGGTGTTTTCACTCAAGCTCTGACTCCAGGCTGTGCAAAATCCTTTGGGCGTCAGCTGCTACAGCGCTGTAGACATGTGGGTTTGGCTTCGCCTGCTCTGCAATTTGCTTTAATTTTGCCATTGCTTGCTCTCTCATGCCTGTTTCCTTGACTAGCCGCTGCAAGCAATGGGCATGGCACCAGCCAGGTGGTTTTACTTTGGAATGAAACCACGCATACCTGACGGTGTGGATATTGATCTTGGTCTTGCATTGCAAACACAAGGCACGGCTGGAAACAGCCATGCTTCCGGAGTCCAGACCTAGTTCCTTCGAGAAAAAGCTTGAAGAACTTCCTGTTGACAAATTTGCCCTGACAGTATCTGCAGTCTCTGCCCTTTGCGCATCGCACATCTCTATCTCACGAGCGACTTCCTGAACCGCTCGCTGTTCTGTGGCAACTACACTGGACATTGGAGCAGCTTGCTCTTCTTCCTTCTCGGCATTATCTGAATCACCTGACTCTGAGCTTGAAGAAGACAAAGAGCCCTCTGAATCTGACTCTGGCAGCTTAGATGCTGATGATGACTTTGAAGCTTTTGTTTTTGGATGTGCTTTAGCTTTGGTCTTCTGCTTTTTCTGAACTGGTCCTCGTTGCTTACCTTTTTTCTTTAAATCTCTCAACCGCTGGTCAAATCCAAAAGGCAGCTTTACTACAGTAGGTTTTTTCTTTGCTTTCTTTTCACTGGAGATGGTGAATACGCAAAGCCATTTGTCGGGATTGCTTTTGAGCATGTTCGTCCGTTCATCTAAGAAAGCGGAGCAGCCCCAAACATCCACTGTCACATCCAAAGTACTGTCTGGGTTTGGGGAATGTTCTCGGAGCAATTTCAGCATCAGCTCATGCGAAGACTGAAACTGTGGTAAAGTACCTCTGGCATCAGTCAAGGAGACCTGATCAGCATCAAGTGCGGCATTCACAAAGATGTGAGACATAGGTCTCTTCATGGATACGCCCAGCAGAACGGGGTAATTGCTGTGCTCCACGGTAAAGAGCAACAAGGATGCTGGCTTGACCTTGTGCTCCTCAAGGCGCCAGGTCAAATCTTTCACCAGTTGCTGCATTCTCGGGTAGTGGCAATTCGTTCTGCAAATGAAAGGAAGGCAAGGTGAATCATGTACTTCAGGGAGGTCGTCTGTTTGATTCGACATGATTGGCTGGTGCAAGGTCTCATCCAGCTTGAATTGAACATCTCCATCAGAAAGCGTCATATCAATTTGTTCGGCCTTCAATGCCCCATGGCCTGAGCTGGTTGGATGTTGGACTGGGCCAGCAATGCACTACCCCAACCTTACTACCGGTCTACCGGACCTGACTTTCTTCTACCACCGTGATGTGAAGCACAAGTGGCTGCACTGCTCCTCTCACAAGCCTACCCTACCGTACCCGTTTGCTCTACTAACCTAACAGTAACAGTATTTAAACATGCTTTGTTTGCATGACAAACTCTGACAACATAACCAAAGCACTGAGCACTGAGCACTGAGCACAGTAAAAAAAAGTTGTAACATCCTGGAAAATAATAAATCCCAGAAAAGGCGCTGTCACACATGCACGTTGCAAGGTCCCACACAGAGTGGCAGTCAAACTGTTCATCGTTCAGCTTCAAACGTCTGGCAGACAAACGTTTGCACGAATTGTGCCCAACTGCCTTCTCAAGGGCTGTAGGTGCTTTTGCAGCATGGCCAGCTGACAAAGGTTGCTGAGCCAATTCCCCCCCGAAGCTTTTCCTGGTGGTTTGCTTCGACCTCAAAAGCCTCTTTGTCGTCTTGGCTCATAGTTTTCCAAAGCTTGCTAGCATCCTTTACCCTTCTGGTATAATCACCCATATCCAAAGATTCTCCTTGAACTTGTTGCTTCAAGAAAACGTTCCAGCCTGACAGCTTCCGAATTTTGCGGGTTGCTGCATGGTTGAAGCGCGCCCTCTTCTCAGCATCCGTCTCCATAATTTCTCGAGTACGATCTGGATGTCTTCCATCCTCAGATCAATGAGTGGACCAGTCAAGAATAAAGAAGGTCCAGGTCAGGTGAAATATGAAATATCCTGTATCCCATTTTCATGTTGCTTGCCAACCCTGCAAACCTGTCACGCAACTCTTTTGCCCAAACAGGATAAGTGTGGCTGTGGGAGTGTAAGTAAGCGTGTGCTACTACTAGTACTTACTTATGTCCTGGAAGTTGGGATTCGGGAGTCCTAATTACTATTGCACAAGATTGACAACCCGGATGTTTGAATTATCCTGGCCCTGACTGTCAGAAAACATGTTTTGGTTTGAACACGGAAAAAGGTAGAAGTACAGTACTAGTGCAGTACAGGTGTCATTGCCACGGGAGGAATACTGGTTGGAGCTTCTTGTTCCAGCTTTCCGACGAACTTGGCTACCTACCATTTTGCTCGGCATGGTGTCTTTACTCGCTGCGTCTGCAAGCCAGTTGTAATGCTTGACTGCCCGTGCCAAAAGACTGGTTTCTATTGCTGCTTTCCCTTGCTTTACAAACTGATGGCCTCGACGGCTCAAGGCCCATTGAACCTGGCCGTTGAGTATTTCCACTGCGTCCGATGACAACGGGCTCCATGTACACACTTCAGACAAGAACTCTTGAAGTGCCTGTATGTCTTTCTGCTGATCCTCCGTCACTGGTGTGGACAAGTCGTTTTCAAATGCTGGAAAGGCTTGGAGGAGTGGTGTTGTGAACTCCTGGTCCACACAGCACGCACACTCACCATATTTGAGGTGCAATTGCTGCCACCCTGTAACAAAGCTGCTCTCATCAGCATCGGCTAATGCCAACAAGGTGAACGGAGGTGATAGAAACTCTGCTACCAAGCGCCTGTGCAGGTCTGTCACGCAACCAATAACCATCTC